AGATGGTGCGTCGCGGTCGCGCAACGCTCATGCAGCAAGATCGAATGATTGAACAGTGCTGCAACTGCAGCAGGCAACGGTTTCGGAAAGATACAGCAGCGTTCACACTCGAGGAGGGGGCAGGTGTTTCCCTTCTTGGGCCTCTCTTGGGGCCGTCTTGGGGCCCTCTCGGGCCTTCTTAGGCGCCTCAGGCACCGCCTTGGGGCCCTCGTGGGCCGCCCAGGGCCCTCTTGGAAGCCTCTTCGGCTATCTTGGAGCTGTCTTGGAGGCCTCTTCCTCCTCCTGGTCCCCCTCCTCCTCCTCCCACTCCAGCTCTCTCTCCTCCTGATCTTCCTCCTCCTCCTCCTGCAGCGTGTTCCGGAAGGCTCCCGCTGGAACATGCTGTGCACAAGTGCTGTCACTGCTCCCGCCACAGTGCCCTGGGTGGTGGGTCAGAGGCCTCATGGGTGTTGGTTTGGATCTCGTGGTTGGCCTGTCGGGGACGTCGTGAAGGCAGTTTCGCAGCTTCTCGGTAGCCGTTTTGGGACCGTTGTGGGGCCTCCTCGGGGCTGTTTTGTGGCCTCTTTAGGCCTCGTTTGGGCCTCCTGGGTGCCTCTTGGGGGCCTCCTGGGGCCTCTTGGGGGCTCCTTGGGGCCTCCTGGGGTACTCTTCAAGCGGGAGGGTCGAATTTTGGAGTCGTGGTCCCCCTCTTTGGCGCATCTTGGGGCCGTCTTGGGGCTCTGTTGGGCTGTCTTGGGCGACTCTGGGGCCGTCTTGGGGCCCTCTTGGGCCGTCTTGGGGCGCTCTTGGGGGCCCATTGAGCCGTCTTGAACGTCGGACAGCCGAAAAGGCTGGAAGGCCAAAATCGTTAGAAAACCTTAGTAAAATTGACGATTTCGGCCTCTTGAAGCGCTCTGGAGAGGCGTCTTGAAGCGTCGTGGGGTGCCTTGGGGGGCCTCTCGGGCCGTCTTGGCCCTATCTTGGGAGCCTCTGGAGGCCCTCCTGGACTTTTGGACCTCTCCGGCCGCCCCGTCCTTCCATGGGGGGTCGGAGGCGGCGGCCTCCGAGGCCAAGGACGCGGAAACCTTTTAAAAACATGGGGAAAATAAGCCCCGGTACCCCCATGGAAGGTCGGGGCGAGTCGGGGCAGCTGTTTTCGGGCACCGGGCCTCCTGGGTGCCTCTTGGGGTTCTCCTGGGGCCTCTTGGGGCCCCTTTGGAGCCTCCCGGGGCCCTGTGGAGGCGGGAGGCTCGAATTTCCGGTTCGCGGTTCCCCTCTTGGGGCCGTCTTGGGCCTCTCTTCGCCCGTCTTGGGGGCGACTCTGGGGCCGTCTTGGGGCCCTCCAGAGCCGTCTTGAGCCCCTCTTGGAGGCCTCTTGGGCTGTCTTGGGGCGTCCACGGGGGGCCTTTGAGCCGTCGTGGAGCGTCGGAAAGCTGAAAAGGCGGGAAAGGCAAAATGTATCCAAAACCTTAGTAAAATTAGCGATTTTGACCTCGTGGGGCCCTCTGGGGGGGCCTCTTGGAGGCCACTTGGAGCGTCTTGGGGGCCTCTTTGGCCGTCTTGGGCTTATCTTGGGCATCTTGGGGCCCTCTTGGCGCCCTCGTGGGCCTCCACTGAAGTAGTGGACCACAGTCCACGCATGCCAATCTGCATTCCGAAAGGCCTTCGAGGAAAATGGTTGTGTAGGGGGGCGGAGACCGTGTGAATCCGGTTCCCAGAAGGCCTTCTGGGAGCATGGGTTTGGGGCGTCTTGGGAAGCCTGTTGGCGCGTGCAGTCGTCGTCGTCGTCGTCGTCGTAATGTCATCGTCGCCTGTTGGGGCGCGCTGTCGTCGTCGTCGTCGTCGTCGTCGTCGTCGTCGTCGTCGTCGTCGTCGTCGTCGTCGTCGGTTCAAGAGGGCACTTGGGGCAACTTTGTGCGAAACGATCTGCGGAGAGCCGCGAGAGGGCGATCAGTCATGTTCCCAATCAACTTCCCAGACAGCTCTCTTGTAGCATGGTAATTCGAAGCCTCCGGAGACTCGCGGGCCCATGATGAACCATGTCCCCGGAAGGCTTTCTGGGGACATGTTTGCTGGGGTGTGTTGGGGGGTCTCTTGGGCGTTCCCTGGGGGCCCCTCTGGGGCCTCCGGGAACTCTCGGGCCCATGGTGAACCATGTCCCTGGAAGGTTTTCTGGGACATGATTTCTTGGGGTGTGTTGGGGGGCCTCGTGGGCGTTCCCTGGCAGCCCCTTGGGGGTCTCTTGGGGCCTCTTGGGCGCCTCAAGGGGCTTCGTGGGAGCCTCTTGGTGGCATCCGGGGGCCTACAGGCGGCCTCGAGGACCAGAGACCTCGAAATATCGGTTGGCGGTCCCCCTCTGGGCCCTCTCTTGGGGAGCTCTTCGGGCACAATTGGGTTGTCTGGGGAGCCTCCTGGGCCGTCTTGGGGCCCTCTTCGGGGCCTCCTGGCCCGTCTTGGAGCGATCTGAAGGGCCTCCGAGCGAGGCCGTGAGGGAGCGCTGGGAAGCGGGGAAAGCGAGAACGCCTAAATCCTGCAAAAACCATCGGATCATTAGTGAATCTTGCCTCCCAAGGCCCTCTTGGGGAGCCTCTTGAGTCCGTCCTGGAGCGTGTTCGAGTCCTCGTCGGCCGTCTTGAGGGCAGCTTGGGCGTCTTCGGGGCCTCTTGGGACCGTCTAGGGCCTTCTCGGGACCTCCATTAGCATGTCGTGGCCTGCTTCGGGGCGGGCCTGGGCCGCCTCGAGACCCCTCTGGGCCTTCTCTTGGCGCGCTCTTGGGGCACACTTGGGTTGTCTGGGGAGCATCCTGGGCCGTCTTGGGGCCCTCGGCGGGGCCTCGTGGGCCTTCTTGGAGCGATCTGAAAGTCCTCCGAGGCCGTGAGGGAGCGCTGGAAAGCGGGAAAAGCGAGAACGCCAAAATCCAAAACACTCGGAAAACAAGTGAATCTTGCCTTCCAGGGCCCTTTTGGGGAGCCTCTTGAGTCCGTCCTGCAGCGTGTTGGAGTCCTCGTCGTCTGTCTTGAGGGCATGTTGAGCGTCTTCGGGGCCTCGTGGGACCGTCTTGGGTCCTCTCGGGACCCCCTTAGCCTGTCGTGGCCTCCTTCGGGGCAGGCTCGGGCCGCCTCGGGAGCTCTGGACCTCCCCCCGCAACCCCTGGTGGGCACCGATGGGGGGAACAGGCAGCGGCCCGCCCCCCCTCCCCCCCCGGGCCTACTCCGAGATAGAGAATCATGTTCCTGGGAAGCTTTCTGTGAGCATGATTCGTTCGGCTCTCTAAGAGGGGGGCCTCTGGGGGCTTACCGAGGGGCGCCTTTTGGCCTTGTCGGCAAACCTATTGGAAACATGGTTGGGGCGGTGGGTGGAAGCCCAAGGAATCATGCTCCCGGAAAGCTATCTGGGAAATACGATTCACCGAAGTGTCTTGGGGTCCCGCAGGGGGCTTCCCTGGGGGTCCCTTGGGGGCCTATTGGGGCTTCCGGGGGACCTCTTGGGAGCCTCACGGAGCTTCTTGGGAGCCTCTTGATGGCCTCCAGGGGCGTCCTAAGAGCCTCTCAGGCTGGAGACCTCGAGATGTCGCGCTCTTCGGGCCCTCTTGGGTCGCTCCCGAGGCTCTCTCGGGGCGCTCTCGAGGCCCTCTTGACTTATCTGGGGAGCCTCCTGGGCCGTCTCTGGGCTTTCTTGGGAGCCTCTTCGTCTGTCTTGGAGCGATCTGAAGGGCCTCTGACGCAGTCCGGGACCGTGGGGAGGCGGAACACGGGAGAGCGCAAGAATGCTTCAAAAACCTTTGGAAAATTCATGATTTCCGGCTTCTGGGGCCATTTGGAGGGGCCTCTGGAGGCGCTCCTGGGGCGTTTTGGCGGCGTCGTCGGCCGTCCTGAGGCCATCTTCGGCGTGTCGGGGCCTCTGGGGGCTGTCTTTGGGCGTCCTGGGAACCCAAGAGTAATGTTCCCGGAGAGGCTTCCGGGAACATGATTTCGAACGAGGCCCTCTTGGGCCTCCCTGGGGCCGTCTTGGGGGCCTCCTGGGCTGGCTTTGGGGCCTCTTGGGCGGTCTTGGGGGGGTCCGTGAGCCCCACAGGACGACCCTTTTGGGCCGTCTTGGGCCCTCTTGGGTCTCTCTTGGGCTGTTTTGGGGCTCCTCGGGGGCGTCTGGGGCACTGCGAAGACGAAGCAAGGGAGTATGCTGAATGTGTACGTTTTACTACGGGGACGGGCTGATTTGTGCCTCTTGAAGGCCCTCTTGGGGCCCTCTTCGGCCATCTTGAAGCCATCTCGGGCCCTCTTGGGCCTCGCTGAGGCTGTCCTGGGGCCCTCTAGAGGTCGAAGGGGCCCTGGGAGCCCAGAAATGTTCCCGGAGAGGCTTCCGGGAACATGATTTCGAACGGGGCCCTCTTGGGCCTCCCTGGGGCTGTCTTGGGAGCCTCCTGGGCCGGCTCCGGGGCCTCTTGGGCCGTCTTGGGGGGTTCGGTGAGCCCCACAGGCCGACCCTTTGGGGCCGTCGTGGGCCCTCTTGGATCTGTCTTGGGCTGTCTTGGGCTCCGCGGGAGCGTCTGGGGCACTGTGAAGACGAAGCCAGCGAGTATACTGAAAACACAGCTTTACGATGGAAAAAGGCCAATGTTTGTCTCTTGAAGGCCCTCTTGGGGCCCTCTTCGGTCAATGAAAATCATCGATGTTGGCTTGTCGGCGCTCTCTTGGGAGGCCTCTTTGGATGCCTTCGGGGCCTCATGGAGCTCTCTTGGAACGTCTTCGGGCCTTCCTGGCCATTCCTGAGGCTATCTATGCGCGTCTTGGAGCGCTCGCGGGCCGTCTTGGACGGTCTCGAACTGTTCCTCGCGGTCCCAGGGGCCCTCTGGGACGCTTCGGACGCTCCTGGGGGCGCCCTGCACCCCCCATGGAGATTACTGGCAGCGCCCCGGGCCGCCCCCGGGCCCTACTCCGATATATATATATATATATATATATATATATATATATATACATACATACATATATATATATGTGTATATATATATATATATATATATGTGGGGCGATCTAGGCACTGGTGCGTGGGAAAACGTGGCGCTCGAGCGCCAAAGGGTTGGGGCTGCCATGATGTAGTCGGCTGTCCTCTTCAGGAATGTAGCCGCAACCTTACAAGAAGACTGTGCCGCATGTGTCGGACCAGACTAGGCAGTTACTGATGCTATGATGGGAGCGAGGAGGAGGGAGGGAGCTTATAAGAAGGCCTCAACCTCCGCGTCGTGCTAGATCTCCGCGACCTGCTGCGACTCATTGTCCTCAACTTCCGCGTTGTCAATGCCGCGCTCGGGTGTTGGGCTCCTGCCACGGCCAGGACATCCGCGCGTCACCAGGCAGCCCAGCGCGACGCCGCAGACCAAGAACAAGATCAAGACACCAGCGACGACTACAATTAATCCCCATGGCTCGGTGGTGGCTGTGTTGTTTGACGTGTCCGAACTCGTGCCCGTATCGGTGGTCGTCGTGGCCGTCTTGGTGGTCGTCGCGGTGGTCGTCTCAGTTGTCGTCGCGGTGGTCGTCTCAGTTGTTGTCTCGGTGGTTGTCTTGATGATGGTAGTAGCGCTTGACGTCGCGGAACTCGTGCCCGTATCGGTGGTCGTCGTGGCTGTTGTCTCGGTCTCGGTGGTGACGATGAAGTCGAACACGTACGCGGCGCCAGATTTGTCGCCCTGATCGTCGTCATAGTAGGCCCCCACCACCACGCGGGCCCCGTCGGAGCTCACGGCCACCGAATTACCAAACTTGTGGTATTCGGTCCCATCACTCGCCACAAGCTTGAGCAGCCTCTCGCCGGTGGTACCGTCGAACACGTACGCGGCGCCAGAGTTGTCGCCCTGGTCGTCGTCAGTACTGGCCCCCACCACCACGCGGGCCCCGTCGGAGCTCACGGCCACCGAGACACCGAATCTGTCATAAGGGGCCCCATCACTCGCCACAAGCTTGAGCAGCCTCTCGCCGGTGGTACCGTCGAGCACGTACGCGGAGCCAATTGTTTCGTCACCAGTGGCCCCCACCACCACGCGGGCCCCGTCGGAGCTCACGGCCACCGAGCAACCGAACAAGTCGGCTGGGGCCCCATCACTCGCCACAAGCTTGAGCAGCCTCTCGCCGGTGGTACCGTGGAGCACGTACGCGGCGCCAGTATTGCTGTCGTCACCAGAGGCCCCCACCACCACGCGGGCCCCGTCGGAGCTCACGGCCACCGAGATACCGAATTTGTCCGAAACGGCCCCATCACTTGCCACAAGCTTGAGCAGCCTCTCGCCAATGGCCCCGTCGAGGACGTACGCGGCGCCAGAACCAGAGGCCCCCACCACCACGCGGGCCCCGTCGGAGCTCACGGCCACCGAGACACCGAATCTGGCAAAATTGGCCCCATCACTCGCCACAAGCTTGAGCAGCCTCTCGCCGGTGGTACCGTCGAGCACGTACGCGGAGCCGGCATTTATCCCCTGGTGGTCGTCACCAGAGGCCCCCACCACCACGCGGGCCCCGTCGGAGCTCACGGCCACCGAGATACCGAATTTGTCCGAAACGGCCCCATCACTCGCCACAAGCTTGAGCAGCCTCTCGCCAGTGGCCCCGTCGAGCACGTACGCGGAGCCCGCACGGTCGTCGTTGTAGTAGCAGTCAGCCCCCACCACCACGCGGGCCCCGTCGGAGCTCACGGCCACCGATTTACCGAACCCGTTCCAGGCGACCCCATCACCCGCCAAGAGCTTGAGCAACTGCGCGCCGCTGGTAGCCTGCCGCCTGCCGAACTCGGCCTGCGGCTCGCGAGGGCGACCGCTTGCCGAGCCCTCCAGCCTCGGGCGGGCCAGCGTCCCGCTCGCCGGCGATCTGGCGCTCGGGGCGCCGCGCGCTACCAGCAGCAGGAGTAGCGCGCCGACGCTGTGAGACGTGCAACGGCGCATCATGCCGTCTGCTGATGTGCAGAGCTGACAGAACGAGAGACGCCCGAAGGGAGCCTTGGGAGGCCGGCGACGGTCCCTCGAAACCTTGAGCCATGTGTGTATATATATATACATATATTAGAACCATCGCGCGCGCTTCGCGCGCGCTCAGGTTCTAGCCCAGGCCAGGGGCGCGCTTGAGGATCTTGGACAGCGCTATCAAGCACAGGCGCGTGACATAGTCGTGCCTCCTGAGGGCCTCTTGGAAACCTCTTGGGTCTTCGTGGGGCATCTGAAGGGCTTCTGGGGGGCCCTCCATGCTTCCTCAATTGGCTGTTACAGGCACATCTTGGGTGCTTCTCGGGGGGCATCTTGGGGCTTCTTGGGGTCCCTTGGGGGCATCGTCAAGGTTCTCCGGGCAGTCGGAAAGTGATGCTCTGCAGCCTGAAGCAGACAATTTGCCGTCTCGGCTGCGTAGAGGCCCGGCTTGAGGCCACATTGGGGCAATCTGGAAGCCTCCAGGGGCCTCCTTGAAGCAATTTTGATTGGCCCCGTGTACGTCTCCTGTGAGCCTTTTGGGGCCTGGTGGAGGGCTTTTGGGGGCCTCGTCGAACCACTTGGGGACTCTTGGGGCCTCCTGTGGGCCTCTTAGGGCGCAAGGCTCTGCTGTTGGGTGGCGGGGTGGCGGCGAACTTGGGCGAATCCGTCGGTTGCGATGCGGACCGCTTCGGGCGCGTGCTGGATTTCGTCTGCCAGAAGCGCTCGGTTCACGATATCGTGATCTTCCTCGATGGGCGGAGCCGCTCGTGCCGCAAGCTGATCGAGGAGAAAGAGGACAGTCTCGCAGCCTCTGGCGCGCACGCCCTGACGGAGTGCTGGTGCGTGTACGTGCAGCCGACCAAGCAAGAGGATCCCAGAGTTCCGGGACGAGTGACTTCTTTCGCGTGCAACATCAAGGAAGTGGCCATCTGCTCGATCCCGAAGAGAGGCGCCATGAAGGTAGTGGACCGCGCGGAGTTCAACTCGTGCGGCGAGTCTTCGAGTGCGGCAACGACGTACACGGGCGTGCCTATGCGGCAATACTGCGAGCTTCCGCGCATGACTTACGAGACGAAGGCTTCAATCCTGGGAAACGCAGCCGCTGGCGCGGTCAAAGGGAAGCGCGCGCAGAAAGACATCGAATCGAAAGGGCACCCCTTCTCGCACCTCGAAGTGAAGCCATTGCATTTGTGGCAGCGTCTCTGCGAGCACCACCACATCACCCACATCGTTGACTTCTCGGCGGGGTCTGCCGCGTTGGCAATCGCAGCCGCTGGCGCGATGGAGTACGAGGGCGTGGCGGCGAACGAGGTGCACCGGGAGTGGCTCGATTCGACCATGGACCGATGCGCGATGTACTTGGCGGGGCGTGACAAGAACTTCGCGAAGATGCTCGGCGGCGACGAGGCCTTCGTCGAGAAAGTGGAGAAGTACTTCGCGGGGGCGATGATGGAGGCGCGGCGCATGCTCGAGCCAGTCCAGGACGCGGCGGAGGGCGATGGGGGAAGCGAGGACTCGGCGGAGGATTAGATCGCAGGCGCGCGTTCGCGGGGGGGAAGATGCCGCAGCCTCTGGCGCGCCGCTGGCGCGGCCAGGCCCTCCCACGGTGGCGAAGTTTTGAGCGCGTCGCTACTCCAGCGAGAGAGAAGTTTCGGGGGTGGCCCCCTGGGCGCGCGCGTAAGCGTGCTAGATCGCAGGCGCGGCAAATTTTGATGTCAAGACCACTCTCCTGCCCGGATGGGGCAACTTCCAAACACGCCTTCGGACGTGCGCGGCGAGTGTGCACAACAGTGGAAACAATGGTGAACGGAGAGTAAGGTGGTGATGATGATGATTATGACGAAGATGATGACATTGATGAAGATGATGGTGATGATGATGATGAGCATGATGATGATGAAGGGTGAGTGATGGTGGTGGTGATGATGATCATGATGATGATGATGATGACGATGATGATGATGTTGGCGGTGATGGTGCTATTGATGATGATGGTGATGAAGATGGAGAGGCGCATGAAGACCCGAGGGAAGAAAACGGGGCCGGTTCTGGAACCGAGGGAAGAAAACGGGGCCGGTTCTGGAACCGAGGGACGAAAACCGGGCCGGTTCTGGAACCGAGGGAAGAAAACCGGGCCGGTTCTGGAACCGAGGGAAGAAAACCGGGCCGGTTCTGGAACCGAGGGAAGAAAACCGGGCCGGTTCTGCAACCGAGGGAAGAAAACGGGGCCGGTTCTGGAACCGAGGGAAGAAAACGGGGCCGGTTCTGGAACCGAAAGAAGAAAACAGGGCCGTTTCTGGAACCGAGGGAAGAAAACCGGGCCGGTTCTGGAACCGAGGGAAGAAAACGGCACCGGTTCTGGAACCGAGGGAAGACAACGAGGCCGGTTCTGGGACCGAGGGAAGAAAACCCGGCCGGTTGTGGAACCGAGGGAAGAAAACCGGGCCGGTTCTGGAACCGAGGGAAGAAAACCAGGGCGGTTGTGGCACCGAGGGAAAACCGGGTCGGTTGTGGAACCGACCACCAAACAGGTCGAACATGTTTTCTTCTCTCGGTTGCGCAACCGAGTGAAGAAAAACATACGTGATTTGGCATGTTGGGTGTCAGGTTGTGGGCGCTGTATTTGATTCTTTATGACGCCCACAACTTGGACCACAACATACCAAATCAGGTATGTTTTTCTTGTGTCGGTTGCGCAACCGACAGAAGAAAACACGTCCGGATTTTGAACAAGTTTTCTTTTGTTGTGGTCGGTTCCAGAACCGGCCCGGTTGTCTTCCCTCGGTTCCAGAACCGGCCCGGTTTTCTTCCCTCGGTTGCAGAACCGGGCCGGTTTTCTTCCCTCGGTTCCAGAACTGGCCCGGTTTTCTTCCCTTGGTTCCAGAACCGGCCCCGGTTTTCTTCCCTCGGTTCCAGAACCGGCCCCGTTTTCTTCCCTCGGTTCCAGAACCGGCCCGGTTTTCTTCCCTCGGTGCCAGAACCGGCCCCGTTTTCTTCCCTCGGTTCCAGAACCGGCCCCGTTTTCTTCCCTCGGTTCCAGAACCGGCCCCGCCTTCTTCCCTCGGGTCTTCATGCGCCTCTCCATCATCATCACCATCATCATTCTCATCAATATCATCATCATCGTCATCATGATCATCATGATGATCACCATCATCATCATCCCCACCATTACTCACCCTTCATCATCATGTGCTTCTTCGACCACCATCATCCGCCCACCTTTGTTCCTTCTCATCCTCCTCCCGCCTGCCTGTTGCGACGCCTGCTGCTGCTTCTGTTGCTGCTGCTCCTCCTCCTCCTCCACGTTGTGCCTGATCCTTGTCGCCGTCCCACTTATGAGCGGGGTCTGGTCTACATGTTCGGACGGTCTGGTGTCATTTTGAACGGGGTCTGGTTTACTTTTCGGTTCTCTGCTTCATTTGTGGGCGGGGCCCGCTACCCTTTTGGAAGGGGTCTGGTCTACTTGGTGGTGCTTTGGCTTACTTGTGGGTGGGGCCTGCTCTACTTTTGGGCGGCATGGCTCGGTGGCCTTTCAGGTGCGGGTGACTTTTGGGCCAGGTCTGGTCTGCTTTCTTGGCCGCCTTAGCCTGCTTTGCTCGGGAGCCTGGTGTCCTTTTCGGCGGGATCAGGTCTCCTTTGGGCGCCTTGGTATACGTTCGGCCGGTGTCTGCTCTTCTTTTGGACGGGCTCTTGTGTACCTGTGGGCTGTGTGGTTCACTTTGGTGCGGGGTCTGGGCGTCTTTTGGGCGACGTCGGGTGTACTTTTGGGTGATCTGGTTTACTTTCGAGCGGATAGTGCTCTACTTTTGGGTGGCTTGCCTTGCTTTACTTGGAGTTCTGGTGTACTTTTGAGTAGGCTTTCCTTTCATTTCCGGCTGTGTGAGCGTTTGGATGGGAGGTCTGGTGTTCTGCTCGGCGGGGTCTGATACACTTGTGGGTGGTCTCGTCTATTTTTAGGCGGGGTCTACTCCTCCTTCTGGTTTGGGTTACTTTTGGGCGGGGTCTGCTTTACTTGTGGGTGGTCTGGTTTACTTTCGGGCGGGCTCTGCTCTACTTTTCGGTGGTGTGGCTTGCCCTACTGGGAGGTCTGGCTTACTGTGGGGCAGGGTCTGGGGTGCTTCGATGGGTGGGCTGCTCTACTTTTGGCGTCGTCTGGTTTACTGTTGGGCGTGGTCTGGTCTACTATGAGGCGGGGTCTGGTCTGCTTTTGGGTTGCCTGGCTTGTTTTTGCAGGAGGTCTGCTGTCCTTCTGGGCTGGGTCGGGTCAACACTTTGGCGGTCTGGTATACTTCTGGGCGGGGTCTGATCTACTTCTGGGTGTTCTGGTTTACTCGGGCAGGGTTTGCTCTTCTGTCGGACGGGGTCTGCCGTACTCCTGGTGTGGTCTGTTCTGCTTTGCCTCGATGTCTCGTCAACTTTGGGCGGGGTCCAGTCTACTTTGTGGGCGGTCTGCTTTACTCTTGGGCGGGCTCTGCTCTACTTGTGGGAGGCCTGGCTCGCTTTACTGGAAGGTCTTGTTTACTTGTGGGCTCGTTCTGGTTTGCTTTTTGGTGGTCTTAGCGATTTGATGGGTGTTCTGGTGCTCTTCTAGGCGGGGTGTGGGATACCTTTGAGGTGGTCTTGCACCGGAAAAGCATTGCTGGTTTGCTATTGTATCACATGCTATGCCATACCGCCGTGCTATGCCATGCGTTGCTGCGCTATGCTGTGCCACGCCATGCGCTGCTTTCCTATTTGACGCCTTCTAGGCTATGGTCTGCGACGCCATGCGACGGGATGCGATGCTGCAGATGTGGTGTTCCGCCCAAAAACCTCGGTAGGAGCCACGTGGTGATCGTGCGTGGCTGTTGTACACGGAACGACATTTGCTGTGCTCTGCTGTGCTATGCCACGCGATGCTATGCTATGCGATGGCCTGCTGTAGCTCCATTCGGTCGCTCACCCCGATGGTAGTCGCGTGGTTGTTTGGGCCCACAATCTCAGCCATATAAGCGTGCACGCGCCTGGCACGCGGGGGGGCGGGGGAAGGGGGGGGGACGGAAAGGAGGAGGAGGAGGAGGAGGAGGAGGAGGAGGAGGAGGAGGAGGAGGAGGAGGAGGAGGGGGGGGAGGAGGAGGGGGAGCCGGGCCCGCAGGTCGCCGGCAAGGGGGGGAGGAGGAGGAGGAGGAGGAGGAGGAGGAGGAGGAGGAGGAGGAGGAGGAGGAGGAGGAGGAGGAGGAGTACGACCAGGATACTCTCAGGATGTCCGTTGGAGACACCGGTAGTGGGCCCTCGGGGGGGCCTCGTCGCCACGGATGGGCGCACCTTGGAAAATCAATGCGCTGGGACTCGGGAGGGCTCCGGGGACCGATCTTGAAGAGGAAGGGTGGAGGAAGGAGGGGCAGGTGGCAGCTGCTCTCCAAGGCCCTCTCGGCTCAAGCCGCTCGTGCTGCAACCGCTGTTCACGAAGTCCTGGCGCCTGCGCCCAGCGCCCGAGCAGCGCGCGGGATGTCCGCGGATCCTCTCAGTGAGCCCAATTGGCTGGCGCCATATTTGCGGGATTGGCGCCACGACCATCCTCTCCGAGCCACCGAGCCCATTGTGTCTGGGTATGCAAGTGAGAAACCGAAGAAGAGCGCACAACGTCCGTGGCACTACTACACTGTGAAGCAGCCGGCAGGCGGTGTTCAAGCGTGGCTGCTCGTTCCTTTCCTCGTGAGGGCCCCAGCCTCTGGCGGGACACCCCCTCCGAAGGGAGCAGAATCCCAGGCGGGCTTGGAGACCAGAGTCAAGGATGGCGTTTTGATGGAGCACTACACAAACATCCATCGGATCGCGGCCCTCTTGGAGAGCCACCCGCTCGTATCCACCGTCACGCAGCACAAGGTGGACAAGTCCCTGCACCCTCGGCGCTTAGACGAAGATGGCCGGGCGTCCAGGTACCACCAGTCCCCCTGGGATTTGGCAGTGACGCTCGCAGCCTCTGGCGCGAAGTTCACTTGTGGGTGGAGCACCAACACGATCAAAGATCCGCTCGCGGCGATGTGGTGGCTCCTTGCGGGGGGTTCCGCAACGGAGGAGAACCTCGTCCAGGCGGAGGCGATATTTTGGGATGTCGCCGAAGCCGGCCCGATCTGGCCGCCCGGCTTTTCCGCTCCCACGGAGCCCTGCCATGTCGCCGCCCGCCCGGCCATGTTGCCGCCGAGCGCTTCCGCGAGCGCCTCCGGAAGCGGCAGCGTGGCGCCCGTTGCTTCCCCGGCGGCCGCGTCGTTGTCCCAGCCTCCGGCGGGAGACGCAGCGCGCGCATCCGCGCTGGCGCCGCAGGCAGCTTTGGCGAGCACGTCTGTTCCGCCGCCCCTGCCGTACGCCACCGAGCCCGCGCCGGCGCGCACGTCGGCCTCTGCTCCACCGCCTCAGCCTCTGGCGGCGAGGCCCCTGCAGCTGCCTTTGGCGGAAGCGCCCGCGGCCGCGGTGGGGGCGCCCGCCGACGCGACCGGAGCGGCCTCCGCGTCGTTGCCCCAGCCTCTGGCGGGAGACGCAGCGCGCGCCTCCGCGTTGGCGCCGCAGGCAGCTCCGGCGAGCACGTCTGTTCCGCCGCCCCTGGCGCGCGCCACCGAGCCCGCGCCGGCGCGCACGTCAGCCTCTGCTCCACCGCCTCAGCCTCTGGCGGCGACGCCCCTGCAGGTGCCTTTGGCGGGGGCGCCCGCGGCAGCGCTCGGGGCGCCCGCCGACGCGACCGGAGTGGCCTCCGCGTTGCTGCCTGCGCCGAGCGGTGGCGCCGAGCGCCAAGACAACCTCGCGGACGACCAGGTGGGAGCGGAGGAAACGGCTGAAGTGCAGGGCATCGATTATACCGAAGATAAGGATGACAGCTTGTCGTCTGGAGGGGAGGAGCAGGACGTCAACGCCGAGCCCGCGCCGGAGCAGGCCCCCCCGGCTGAACCGCAGCACAGGGTGCGTCGCCGCTCGAGGTCCCGACCAGGGCCTCAACGTACACGCGACCCAGCCTCTGGCGGGGCGGACGGCGAGGTCGACCTCACCGTGCACGTGTCCGCCAAGAAACTGGAGCGCCTGTCGGAGGACCAGAAGGAGCGGCTGCGCCAGATCGTGCGCACCAGTGAGCGGCAGGTGCACTTCGGCGAGTACTGGCAGGGAAGGGTCAGCCTGCGTGAGCGCATGCCTCGAGAGGCTCCGCAACTGGCGAGAGCTCGCGACGAGCGTCGGGCGCTTCTCCTCGGTGAGTTGCTGGAGTACGCGGACCCGATCCCGGACGCTCCGGAGTTCATCGCTGGAATCCCTTCCAAGAACACCATGCGCTTCGGCGCCAACGAGGATGTCGTCAAGGCCATAGCCAGCAGGAAGATGCACTACATGCGTTTGCTGACAAACAAGATGGACGAGGATGAATGGCTCACCTTCGTCGAGGAGTGGCCGGACTTGTCCCCAGCCTCTGGCGGGTGGTGGGTGCTCCAGCGCGACGCCTGGGAGCAGCTCAAGCAGGAATGGCGGGGGTTGTCTCCAACGATGCCGAAGCCCAGTCGACCCCCAGCCACGTCCTCTCCACCCATCTCCCTTCCCTCCACGCGGTAGGGAGTCGGCGAAGGAGGAGGGAGAGGGCGAGGATGGGGGAAGGGGAGGGAAGGGGGGAGGGCGAGGAGGGGGGGGGGGACAGGGGGCGGCACCGTTGGAGAGAATCCGTCGCCACGACTGAGGACTTTCGCCTGCACGATACGCGCGACTACGTGAAGCACATTCTGGCACTGCACGATGGCGAGGCCAGGCTTGTGCGGGCGGGGTGGGAGCCATTCCCAGCCTCTGGCGGGGGCATCCTTCAACCTTGCTACTGGCGCTACCAATTTTCGCGCGGCTGGGACACGTACTCGTGGCTATCCACCCACAAAGGAAACTTGACCATCCAAGACCTGGACTGGATCATGATGAAGGACGGCGGCGAGACTGGCTTGATGAGGAGCGACCCAGCCTTCGGGAACTGGCAGATCCGCAGTGGCCAATTCATCACGCTGGCCGAACTCTTCTGGTTCGGGAAACACTTGTGCTCATGCTACGACATCTACCGCGCTTACCTGAGCCTGCCTGCGTGGATCCAGAAGCGCAAGCATTCGACCTCGCAGTCCGCGGCGGGAGTCCTCAGGCGCAACGCGAAGGCGTTGCGCCACCAGGAGGAGGGCAAGTACGGCTTGCCCTCGAACCCGGGGAAACGCGGGCGGCGGTGAGCACTTGCCCTCGCCGCCTGCGGTGCCGAGCCCAGCCTCTGGCGGGAGTAGCCTCGCGCCCAGCTTCGGTGCCAATGCCAGATTTTGCACAGCGGAACTGCAGATTCCGCGTCCGAGCGAAGCCGAAACAATCTTGGAAACAGCTTCCCTCCTCATTGTCGTCCTCCCCTCTGCTCCCTGCTGCATTAGTCCTCAGTCTCCCCCCTGCTCCTGCTGCTAATCCTGCACCCTCGCGAGCACAAGGGCGCAGCAAAACCCAGCCTCTGGCGGGAGTGAGGCTCGACGTCCAGGGGAAAGCTTGAGGGCGCCAGAACAGGACCGCCTGGCCTGTCCACCGTGGGACGTCGCTCCTGCATCGCTCTCCCGCCCTGTCCCTGCCCCCGGCTCTACTCGCCCCCTCCCTCCCGTCTCTGCCCCCCCCGCCCCTGCTAGTCCTCGTCGTCGTGCTCCTGGGTGTCGACCAGGTCCCCAGAGGGAGTCATTTGTTCCGTGAAACCACCCCCCTTCCCACCCTCCCGTCCTCCGCCCACCCATCACCTCCTCAATCGCTCCTGCTCATACGCCATTCCCCCTCCCCCTGGCCCCTCCTTCCCGGCTCTCCTCCCCTGCCTATACTGCCTACTACTCCGCACTCACTACTCATATCTACTCCATACCCCTCCCACTCTCCTACATTCCTCATATCGTCCTCGTCATTCCTATTCCGCCTCATGCTTCACTCCGAAGTCCGGCAATCAATCCTCCTGCAAAATGCAGCATCTTCCTCCCCCATCCCCCGCCCCCCCACCCCCACGCTGCGCCGTCGCTCATGCCAGAGAAGCCATCAATGGCAGCCCCGTTTCACAGACCCTGCGAAGAAGCAGGCCAGACTGCTAAAAAGTAGACCGGGCCCTGCTAAAAAGTAAACCAGACCCTGCCAAAAAGTAGACCAGACCACCCATAGGCAATCCAGACCCTGCCAAAAAGTAGACCAGACCCTGCCAGAAAGTAGAACAGACCACCCATAGGTAAACCAGACCCTGCCAAAAAAGTAGACCAGACCCTGCCTAAAAAGTAGGCCAGACAACCCATAAGTAGAGCAGGCCCTGCCAAAAAAAATAGGCCAGACCACTCATAAGTAAACCAGACCCTGCCAAAAAGTAGACCAGACCCTGCCGACAAGTAGGCCAGGCCACCCATAAGTAAACCAGACCCTGCCGAAAAGTAGACCAGACCCTGCCAAAAAGTAGACCAGACCACCCATAAGTAAACCAGACCCTGCCGAAAAGTAGACCAGACCCTGCCGAAAAAGTAGACCAGGCCACCCATAGGTGAACCAGACCCTGCCAAAAAGTAGACCAGACCCTGCCAAAAAGTAGACCAGACCACCCATAAGTAAACCAGACCCTGCCAAAAATTAGACCAGACCCTGCCAAAAAGTAGACCAGGCCACCCATAAGTAAACCCGACCCTGCCAAAAAGTAGACCGGACCCTGCCAAAAAGTAGACCAGACCACTCATAGGTAAACCAGGCCCTGCCAAAAATTAGACCAGACTTTGCCAGAAAGTAAAGCAGACCATCCAAAAGTTGACCAGACCCTGCCAAAAACTGGACCAGACCCCGCCGAAAAGTAGACCAGACCACCATCAAAGGAAAGCCAGACACCCGCACATATTGGGCAGAGCCAGCACCAGCCATGCCCAGAGGCAGACAGCACCATTCATAATGGGCCCCAAGAGAGACGTTCGTCTCTCTGCGATCGCGCGTGGCCAAGCGGGCTCAAGCGGGCTCAAGCGGGCTCAAGCGGGCTCAAGCGGGCTCAAGCGCTCATTTGCTGAGCACGGGGTCTGCGCGGGGGCGCCAGGGCGCGCGTTGTGGGGCTGCGCCTCGCAGCCTCTGGCGCGATGGTGTTGAGATGCAAGACGTGCCACCAGCGCGCCAGAGACCATGATGGAAGCTGCAAGAACTCGAAGTGCGCGCAGCACCGCGCGCCTCTGAAAGGGCAGCATTGGAAAGTTGCCAGGGTGAGCGATATCTTGGGCAAGCCGACAGAGAAAATCGGCGCGTACGTCGCCGGCGGTTTCATTCTCACTTTGCTTCACAGACATGACATTCGCGTCGGCGTAGCTAGCGGCGAGTATCTTCGGGCCGCAGCCTCTGGCGCGACTGCAGTGCGCTTGGAGCTTTTAGCGGTGGTCTATCTGTGCTACTGGCGGTGGTCGGCGAGCTCACTTCTTGGATACTTGTCGAAGGCATTATCCCGTTTTGAGCGCGCGGACTCCGCAGACAGAGCTGAGATCTTACAGGGCGCGTGGTCTTCGATGGAGGCGGACATGGGCGGTTGCCAGGTCGTCGGAAATCGCCAGGAGCACGATGTTCAGTTAGCACCCCGCCAAGACCGGAAATGTATCGCAATCTCAGCCCCTGGCGAGACTTTTGCGTATCATCCTTACAAGAACCCGGCTAGTCGCCGCACTGGTGCGCACGAATTCGAGAAATTGGTGCCTGACGTGCAGAATGGTAAGCTCCGGGACGCTTGCGTAGATCTCGCCGAGATGTTCGCCGCGAAGCCCACGTTCAGGGCGCCACGTACAATCGAGTCAGGTGGCGTGGGAACCGAAAACATCCCACGCGGGGCCTCCCGATTGCGGCCCTCTGGTTGGGCATCGGTGTCCTCTTTGACCACGATCTCAAGGGGGAATCCAGCCGTGGCGACGACATCGCCCGTCGTCGTCGTCGTCGTCGTCGTCGTCGTCGTCCTCGTCGTCGTCGTCGTCGTCGTCGTCGTCGTCGTCGTCGTCGATGGCCTGCCGAGGAGGCAAGTGGCGTCGGCGCCGTCTTCGTCGACGTCGTCGTCGTCGTCGTCGTCGTCGTCGTCAGCGTCAGCGTCAGCGTCGTCGTCGTCGTCAGCGTCGTCAGCGTCGGCACCGTCGTCGTCGTCGTCGTCGTCGTCGTCGTCGTCGTCGTCGTCGTCGTCGTCGTCGTCGTCGTCTTCGTCTTCGTTCTCGTATGACATAACGCGACACCGATTCTCGGATCTGGATATATACGACAGCAGATGTCTGGGCCCCCCTCCTGCCTGGCGCCCCCATCCCGCC